CCTTGGCGCTCATATGACCATATGCAGTTGCAAGCGCAGTAAAACCCTCTACTATAAAAAAATATATATATTTGGCACTTATATGAGCACATTGTGTTTCAAGAGGGTAACACTCTTAATAAAAGTAAAGGCGAGGACGAATATTTGCTATCTGTCTAATGTGTCTGTAATTATCAACTCTTCTTTTAATTTTTGGCTTGCCTTTATTAATTGACAGGTTTAATGACCAAATACATAGCTTCAAAATATGCTCTCTCGTTCAGGACGGCAGTTCTGACCACTAACTGCTGGGGGCAGTTTGCCGTGGATAAAGTTGAAGCACATGTTTGGTTTGGATTGGAACAAAACATTAGTGGCGGATATCCCTAAATTTAAGATTTGACGAAAATGAGAATGGATTGGTCATATGGGTGGAATGAAGGGTAAAACATGGAGGAAACGGAACATTGAATGGAGACCAAGAATAGGAAAATGATCAACAGGAAGACCAGGAAGAATGTGATAAGATGACGTCAGAGCGCGACTTGTGCAACCTAGATGTGGAGAAAAGCAAATCGAACTGAATGGAAGTTATTGATAGAGGGCTACAAGCTATATCCAGTGGACGCACCATGCCTAGAAAATAAAAGAAAGAATTTGGGTATGTTCCAATTACATGAATAAGAAAATCGCTTTCTTCCCCCCTCTCGTGGGTGGTTGGTGGGTGATCTGGTGTGGTTTGCTCCTTCTTTCCTACCAAACATCTATCGTCCTGATCCCTCCTTCTTTTTTGTGTTTGTTGTTACTCTCTTGTAACATCTCTAATCTTCGGCACTTATATGACCTTATTGTGTTGCAAGTGCCGTAAAACTCTTACTAAAACTACAACTTTCCCCGCTTGACAGGTATTTCAGCATCAGCAAGATGGCCGCCAGCACGTTCTACCAGCTGCTGATGAATGACGTACACGCCCTCACGGAGACTGACCCACGGCACAAGGTGAGACAAGTCTGTCTTTGTCTTAGTTAGTTTGGGTTTTTTTTCGTTTGTTTTTAAATGTGAGGCATCTTGGTGAAATCAGGTTCTCGTCAAAATAAAAAAATTGAAGAAACAGGTATTTTGCCGCCAGTTGGCTATTTTTATTGAATTATTTTTTTTCGCTCAACACCTTTTATGTCTGTATAAAAACACATTTCCAGGTTAATTTTACTGACAAACGTTGATGAACGGCAAAAAAAGTGATTTTTCAGTTTTCAATGACTGAAGCTATTGAAGTTACCAAACTTTGGCGGCCATTTTCTCGTTAATTTTACCCCTGAAACCAAGCGACCCTATCTCTTTCAATCACAAATATCTAAACTTCTTTTCGAGACAGATCGGGGGGGGGTTTTTCTTTGAAAGCAAGGCAAATGAATAAGCTATAAAATGCTACCAAGTGGGTGGTTGGCGGATGCTCTGGTGTGGTTTGCTCCTTCTTTCTTATCAAACATCTATCATCCTTATCTCCCCTCCTTCTTTTTTATGTTTGTTGCTCTCTTGTAACACCTCTAATCTTTTGGCGGTCATATGACCTTATGATGTTGCGAGTGCCGTAAAACCTCTACTGAAACAAACAAAAATACTAACAATATTTCCACATGCCCAAAAAATGACGAGCGCCTGATTCCAACGCGTCGTGACACAAATACCATGCAGTCACACCGCCAGCAGTACAAAATACTCCAACTGGTCATCCAGCCGAGGCAGTCACGGCAACGCGCTGGAGTCGGCAATGCTAAAGTGTAATTTTTTTTTGACCAGCGTGAATGAAAAAAAAATCAATTTTAAAAAAAGGCCACGTCAAAATCTGTAGAACTTTTGGAAAATGAACGACATAGCATCGGTGCAGATACTCAGAAAAGATGGTATCTGCGTATATAATAGAAAGCTGTAATTTTGCAACGTTATCCATCGGGCACACAATTCGCTTTGAAGTAATTCCTCCAAATACAACCTTATGTGTCTAATATAATCGTGAATATTCGCATATTTTCTCGAAAGTTTATAAAAGACGATGCATTGTCTCCCTCCCAGCCCTTGGTCGAGATTGACCTTCGGATGCTGGCCCTGGGGTACCGGCTGAAGCAACTGGACAGCGACTGGAAGATGTACATAACACCTCAGTAAGTGTTTCACCAGCAAATCGTGACCGTAGTGCTTTCTTGCCGTATCTCCAGTTTTAATAACAACGAAAACAGTTCATAATAAAAAGTGAGCTTAACCAGAAGTTACATTTTCACTGTTAAAAAAAAAATGGAGGTACGACAAGAAAGCACTGAGGTCGCGAAATGGTGGAGACTTTTGTCATGGCGCTGCCATTATGGCTGGAGTCAGCCTTCTTCTTCTTCTTCTTCTTCTTCTTTTTCTTCTTCTTCTTCTTCTTCTTCTTCTTCTTCTTCTTCTTCTTCTTCTTCTT